CGGCTCACCCCCGCTGGTGACGATGGCCGAAGCCAGGGAGGCGGCGAGGGAGCCGTTGCCGGGGGTAACAAGCGCAGAGAATATGGACCAATAGGAGGAGGTGCGCCGGACCCTTCTCTGGCAATAGAACAGGAGTTTTGTTAAGGGGTCGTGTCCACAAATGACGTCACGCGATTTTGGACGATTTTTGACACCCCCCCCCCCTCGTCACACAAAAGTCAGACCCCCCCCCCTCAAATATGACGTCACAAAGCTCTGTCCCCCCCCCGCCCCCCCACCAAAATAAAACATGCTTCAAATCGTATTCTTGGTTCTTTCAGTTAAGTCACGTTGAAGGGAAACAATAAAATAATAAAATATATATATGAAAAAACTATCTATATTTTATTGTTTCCCTTCTACGTGGTGGTGACTTTACCAAAAGAACCAAGAATATGAATCACTGCAGTCACGAAAGCTCTAAATCAAAATTTATACTTCAAATCGCTTTAAACTATCGTCATTGTAGTTGTGTATTTAATGTGGCGCTGCACTCTGATGTTGTAGGAGAAAACATTTATTAAAAAAAAATCTATTTAATTAAGCAGAACGTTTTGATTTAAAGCTTTCGTGACTGCAGGGATTCATATTCTTGGTTCTTTCGGTAAAGTCACCACCGCGTAGAAGGGAAACAATAAAATAATAAAAATATAAAGCAATAAAATTCTCACGACGTTTCGACTGCAACACAAGCAGCAATCATCATCAGGTGTGAAAACCACAGCAAGAAATATTTGAAAAAAGTGGCGTTTTATTTTTTAACGTTAGCACCACGGAGAGCGATTTGGCAGTTATTCAGATGGACGAGTTGTGTTAAGGGGTCGTCCATAAATGATTGTTCACGCTTACGGTGGCTTTCAGACCGCATCCATTATTTTCGTCTCCCCTCCTCTTTTCCGAACATAGATGGACTCGTCCATCTGAATAACTGCCAAATCGCTCTCCGTGGTGCTAACGTTAAAAAACCCCACTTTTATCAAATGTTCTTGCTGTGGTTTTCACACCTGATGATATATTTTTATTATTTTATTGTTTCCCTTCTACGTGACTTTACCGAAATAACCAAGAATAATAATGTATGGGCATTGTCTTTAATAATAATGTATGGGAATTGTCTTTAATAATAATGTATGGGCATTGTCTTTAATAATAATGTATGGGCATTGTCTTTAATAATAATAATGTATGGGAATTGTCTTTAATAATAATGTATGGGCATTGTCTTTAATAATAATAATGTATGGGCATTGCCTTTAATAATAATGTATGGGCATTGTCTTTAATCATAATAATAATAATAATGTATGGGCATTGTCTTTAATAATAATGATGTATGGGCATTGTCTTTAATAATAATAATGTATGGGCATTGTCTTTGAAACTGATTGGCCTACACCAGATACAGCAGCCGCCAGTGTCAGACCAGAGGACAACGCCAAAAGGCGAACAGCGCAAGGACAATGCCATCAGAGCATTCATAGCTCGGGGTCGACCAGCAGCTACATCATGGGGATACCTTTTTGCCAGTATCAAAGTATGATGGAAAAATAAGCCGAGGTTGTGTACCCTTTCTGGCAGAGGACGGACGCGGCCGAGGTGGCTTTGGCGACCGCTCAGAGGCTTTTTTTTCTTGAGCTTGCCTGGCGAAGATTTTGAGGCGGGGGCGGCGGGGGCGGCGGGGGGGGGTGTCGAGGTCAGACCCCCACGACACTGCAGGGTGGAGTGTCGTGGGGGGGTTTGGTGGCGACGAGGACCAGACGACAACCGAGTGGTGCTCGTCGTCGGAGAGATCCGACGACGATCGTGGGGAACCCGGCGACTCATCTGCTGGAAGGGAAGTGGTGGGGAGCGGGTAGCCACGAGGGCGGCTCCCTCGGTCCCGGCGCCGATCATGATTCGGGGCTTCGAATGTTGCGAGCGTCCGTAGGATTGGTCGTGGGCCCAGAACCCGCTGCTGCTCGCAAGGCAGCGGCCGCGCTGTTAACACCGAACACCCGGGATGCCTTAGGATGCCTTGGCCTGCCCTACAGAGATCCTGCCAATGCTGCCTTGGCCTGGCCAACAGAGATTCTGGGAATGATGCCTTGGCCTGGCCTACAGAGATTCTGGGAATGATGCCTTGGCCTGGCCTACAGAGATCCTGCCAATGATGCCTTAGCCTGGCCAACAGAGATTCTGGGAATGATGCCTTGGCCTGGCCTACAGAGATTCTGGGAATGATGCTTTGGCCTGGCCTACAGAGATCCTGCCAATGATGCCTTGGCCTGGCCTACAGAGATTCTGGGAATGATGCTTTGGCCTGGCCTACAGAGATTCTGCCAATGATGCCTTGGCCTGGCCTACAGAGATCCTGGTAATGATGCCTTAGCCTGGCCTTCAGAGATTCTGGTCATGACTCCTTAGCCTGACCGACAGAGATCCTGGTAATGATGCCTTAGCCTGGCCTACAGAGATCCTGCCAATGATGCCTCGGCCTGGCCAACAGAGATTCCGGGAATGATGCCTCGGCCTGGCTGACAGAGGGTAACTTCGTCTTGACAACCGGGGAGCATCTGACACGAACACTGAACGATAATGAAGCCTTAGGCTGGCTGGCTGTATGTATGTATGCCACCCATTGGTATTAGCACCGAACTATCCAACTCCTTATTGTTTGGCCCGCCCCGTGAGCTCCGAGCGATGCCGACGAAGCATGCTACCTGGCGAGCGGGCCTCTCCATCCATGGATGGACAGAGGCGGCTCGTAACAAAAAAAGACTAATTTTAGGGGAATGGAAAAGAGCAAATACAAAAGATTGCTAACGTCGCATTCGAGCTCCTTTATTTGATTTGGACACGCACGTTAAAAAAATATATTTATACACATTACACATTTATACACGGGCAAAAAGAATGGCATAAACGTACGCTAAGATCAAAGTCCTGATTCATTTACCTTTGCGTCCTAAGTGAGTGTAATGTAGACCGTGCCAACATTCCAAGTCTCTGGTTTAAAAAAAACATTGCCGCAGATTTTGATATTTGTTTTGTATTTACAATGAATCCATTCAAATGCACGTTGCAATGATGGTTTAACGCATATTAAGTAGTAGTTAAGGATATTATCCATAATAGAGGGTTTTTGGGGGGTTAGATCGTTAATAAAATATACAATGTGTCGTTAATAGCATCATTGCCCGACAGAGCAATCACGACTGATGAGACGACCCTCCGTGGCCAGATGGGATGTGGAAGCTATATATGTGTATCCGCTGTACTTTTATACAGTTTTGCGATGAATGTGGAGAGACAAAATATGTTTTGCCACAGGTTATGCTTGCCTGCCATTGGCCCACGCATGAAGCCAATGGTTTGTAGTTCCCTTTGATCTCACTTTTCATGCCCACCTCTAACCACTATGAAAAAACAAATATAACATTTTAATGATTCTCAGTATCATTCGATTTTATACTGACAATATCATCCCGAAAGCATTTAAAACCAGCGTTCCTACTGTCACGTACATTAACGCAATGTATTGGGACTGTATATTGGGTGCGGAATTTTTTAAAAACAGAATCGTGGCTCTAGGAATCACGCGCATTAAGTGAAATATACATTTTATCAGAATTTAAGAATAGGTTTTACCCTTTCTGGCATTAAAACAGATAAACCTTTTGCAAGGAATCATGTCTGCATTAACCACACAGTACTTGTGGTGAAAATGCAAAGAAAAAACATGCCCTGGTGGTATATGATGCATTGTCTTTGAATCCGATTGGTCAACACCAGAGACGGCTTTCTTTAGAGCCTAGTCTCAAGCATTGTTAGACCAGAGGACTATGCCAAAATGCGAACATTTTGTCATCTGTAAATAACTATACGATCACGTGGTACGGTTGATTCCCCAGGGGCCACGTGGAGCTCTCTGGGGCCACGTGGCACGTCGGCCATATTGGTCTCGACAACCAATGCCCCACCGGAAAATGTATATAAAAAAGTAGTGCCACGCACATTTCACCAAACGTTAGAGCCTCTTTGTCTGTCTGTGTTCGGTTTTTTTTTAAAGTGCAAAAATGATCTGTTAGTGTTAAGCGTGGTGGGGGGGGGGGAGGAGGAGATAATATAAAATATTAAGTCAAAGTAATCGGATAACATTGGGTCGGCGCAAACGGAGCGATCGTTCAGAGTCAACGTCATCGCAGAGAGAAAGGCCGGGGGGTGAGGGGGGAGGGAAAAGGGGGGGCTGCCCCCCACCCCACGCAGACCCCCTACCATTCTAATGGTAGACCCCTGGTGTGGCACTACAGCCACACCATACCCACACCACCACACCGACACTGACACCACACCCACACCACACCCACACCACACACACACCACCCACATCTCACCCACACCACACCGACATCAGACCCATACCACATCCACACCATACACCACACCATACCTACACCACCACACTGACACCGACACCACACCCACACCACACCTAAACCAACCCACATCTCACCGACACCACACCCACATCAGACCCATACCACATACACACCACACACCACCATACTCACACCACCACACCGACACCACACCGACACCACACCCACACCACACCAACCCACATCTCACCCACACCACACCCACATCAGACCCATGCCACATCCACACCACACACCACACACCACACCACACCACACCCACACTCACACCACCCCATACCATACCCACATCCACACCACACTCACATCCACACTCACATCCACACTCACACCACACCACACACACACACCATACCCACATCCACACTCACACCACACCATACCCACATCCACACCACACATCACACCCACACCACACACCACACCACACCACAGAGTACCTCCCAGAAACCTTCATGGGGAGATGCAGCAGCTGCTACCCTCAGACGCAGGGCCGGATCTTTCAAAACGTGACGACCCCATTGATCAATCGATCGCTACACCCCCATCGATCGATCGCGACACCCTCCACCATCGACAGATCGATCGATCGCGACACCGCCCCCATTGGTCGATCGATCGATCGCCAGCGGAGGGGGTGGCGACGCCTACTGGCAACAGAGCATGACGGGGCCTCTTCCAACAGAAGTTGGGAAACCTGGTGGGCGGCTGCGAGGAGAGAGGAGGATGTGTGAATGTGAATATATTAGTGGCTTCCTCAAGGTGCCGCCTTGTCCTCCGCCTCCCTTCCACGCCACCCCACCGCACCCAGAAGGGACTCTACCACTACAAGTTGGGAAACCTGCGGGCGGCAGGGAGGACAGGGCAGGGCAGGGTGTGGCGGTTTTTGGTTTTCTCAAGGTGCCGCTTCTTCCTCCGCCTCACTTCCACTCCACTCCACCTCCACCCAGAAGGACCTCTGCCACCACAAGTTGGGAAACCTGCGGGCGGCGGGGAGGAGAGGAGGCTGTGGCGGTTTTTGGATTTCGCAAGGTGCCGCCTCTTCCTCCTCGTCCCTTACACCCCACTCCATCCCACCCAGAAGGGCCTCTTCCACCACAAGTTGGGTAACCTGGCTGGGAGGCGGGGAGGGGATGGTGTGGCGGTTTTCGCTTGGTCAAGGTACCGCCTCTCCTCCTCCTACTCCCACCCCACACAACCCCACCCCACTCTACCCCACACCACCGGGCCTCTCATACCAGAAGTTGGGAAACTTGCGAGTGGCGGGCGGCGGGCGGCGGGGAGGGCGGTGGTTTTTAGATTTCTCAAGGTGCCGTCTCCTCTCCCTCCTCCCACCTCATCACCACCACAACCACCACAACCACCAACCACCACCAACCACCAGACCACGAGACCACCACCACCACCACCACAGTGGGCTCAGCCTCCACCTCTTCTTCTTCCTCGCCGTCGCTTTGCGTCACTCGAGGAAGAAGGAGCCGAAGAAGCTGGCCTCCGGGTCGAAGTCGACGAGCGTCGGGTCGGACACAGCAATGAAGAGCTGGTCCCCTCGGCGCAGCGAGAACACGCCGCCCAGTTGCACAGAGTGGAGGCCATACTGGGCGGAGGCCGACCAGCACTTGGTCTGTGCCGCTTTGGCGAGCAGCAGGGGCTTGGGGTAGTGGTCGGTGCGCTTGTATAGGTAGAGCACCATCGTCTGGACCGGCCGCTGGCGGGCCGACAAATCGGATGGAGGGTCGGAGGCCCCGTGACGGCCCCTGCAAGCGCACGGACGGACGGACGGACGGACGGACGGACAGAGGCGTGTGGCTTCAGTGTGACAGTCGGAAACTTAATGTCGCATTCGACGGAGGCGCAGACGAACAAAACAGACGGACAGAGGCGTGTGGCTCTAGTAGGGCAGTGTGAAAGCAACGTCGCATGGACGGGCACACGGACGAACAGGCGGACACAGACAGGGACGTGCGGCTTCCGTGGCTGTGGCCGGCCGAAGCCGCGTCGCCCGCCCGCCCGCTGCCCCGCGGGGAGGGAGGTGGGGGGGGTGGTGGTCACCTCCCCTTACATGTGCGTGTCCACTTGCCACGTGCTGAAGCGGAAGTAGGTCTGCGCGTAGACGTAGTAGGAGCCGTGCAGCCGGGCCGTGAGCGTCGCGCCCGTGAAGTCCATGTGCTGCACGTGAACCGAGCCCAGCTTCTCCTCCCAGCTGTACAGCACCTTGCCGCTCTGAGTGCCCATCAGCCTCTGCAGGTGTTCGCCTGGAGTGGGGTGGGGTGGGGTGGGTGGGTGGGTGGGGGGGTCGGTACGTTCGGTTTCTCCCATCGGTGCCTCCGTTTTGCTTCTTGTTTGAGCGGAACGAAAAACGTCGAGGGCCACCGGCGTTAACCGGGATGAGGCGGGGGGGGGGGGGAGGGGGGGCACAGTCCCTGAGACGCGACTGAAACGTATGAAGGAGGGGAGATAAGATGTGGGGGGGGGGGGGGGGAAGGGGGGGTGGTGGTGAATGGACCCAGCTGCTGTCCCAACCAGGAGAGGGTAGCAACCACGTTGGGGGTTAGAAGGCGGGAAATTTCCAATGGGAGAATCAGAATCTGTATTTGTTACTGCAGGAGGAATCCGATGGGCTACGAAGCTCTTTTTGTTGCCACAGATGTCCCAATAGGGGGCCACGGGGTAAGGATGCAACAACAACAACAACAAACACGGTTACACAAACACGATAGTCGTGCAAAGTACAGGAACGGTAAACAACTCACCCAACACACAAACAAATACAAAACTAAACCATCCCCATCCTACCAGGCAAAGCCCCGCTGAGGTATGAACTTGCATTTTTTTAGAATCGATCCTGGGCCACAAATGGCAGCTCAACAAAAGTGGGGCCCCTCCATCATTTGGACATTTATAGCAGCCAAAATTAATCGAAATAATCTCGAAGGCACATTTCTAAATGTGGAAGGGGAAAAAACCCACAAGACCCGGAGACGAGAAAAATCCACGCCGCCACCACGGAGAGAGATGAGAGAGACGCCGCAAACTCCAGATGTGCGAAGTAGTGCGTCGATGCTGCTCCTGCAGCTGCTACTACTCCCTTCTTGGGACGTACGGAACTGTGCGTTTGATAAACCGCCATGGTTCTCTGCGCACCACTGCGTATGTCAGGTCAGGCCCGGGGACTTTGTTGTTGCATCAGCTGGTGGGGTCACGTTGAGATGAGCGGCTGCAACCCCAACCCAGGCGTCGCCATTGGCAGCTTGAAGCAGTTACCGGGGCATTCCAGTTTTGTATCGAGTTGCGTAGATATCCGTAGGGTTACGTAAAGACGCAAAGAGTTGCACAAAGATCTGCAGGGTTGCACAGAGACCGACAGGGTTAGAGATCAATGGCTGCATAGCGATATATAGAGTTACGTAGAGATGCGTAGAGTTACACAGAGATGCACAGGGTTACATGGAGACCCCATAGAGTTGCATAGATATCCACAACATCAAGGCAGGCTTGCATCCAAGGCCCCGTGTGTGTTCGCTGCTGCTTAGTTGTACCGTAGTTGAACTTCTTTTACGCTGTACGCGGCCAGCCTTGGCTAACCGGAGGTGCGGCGGAAGGACGTGAAACTTGAACACGCAAAAATGCGTCCGTAAAGAAATTCGTTTTGTAAATCTAGTTCGCGAGCTGCAGTTTACCCGGTGTGTAAAGGTCACTCGGCCAATGGGTCGCCATACCGTGTCGACCCATCACGGTGTACCCCGTGTTTTCATGTCCATACGGCATACAGCCGTTTTCATACGGGGCAAAAACATTTGTGTCTATTTGCTTGTGTTTCTCCCTTGTGATGGGACTTTGTAGGATGAGCGTTGAGATTTATAAGGGCACGGGGTGACCAATACGATGGTCTGTAATAATGTAGGGCACTGATGAGGGATTGACAGGTATGTAGTTGTGTAGTGTATAGTGTAGTTTACAGTTGTGTATAGTGTAGTGTATAGTGTAATGTATAGTAGTGTATGGTGTCGTGGATAGTAGTGTGTAGTGTGTAGGAGTGTATGATGAGGGCTTGACAGGTTTGTAGTTGTGTATAGTGTAATGTATAGTAGTGTATGGTGTCGTGGATAGTAGTGTATAGTGTGTAGGAGTGTATGATGAGGGGTTGACAGGTTTGTAGTAGCGTATAGTGTAATGTATAGTAGTGTATGGTGTCGTGGATAGTAGTGTGTAGTGTGTAGGAGTGTATGATGAGGGCTTGACAGGTTTGTAGTAGTGTATAGTGTAATGTATAGTAGTGTATGGTGTCGTAGATAGTAGTGTGTAGTGTGTAGGAGTGTATGATGAGGGCTTGACAGGTTTGTAGTTGTGTATAGTGTAATGTATAGTAGTGTATGATGTCGTGGATAGTAGTGTATAGTGTGTAGGAGTGTATGATGAGGGCTTGACAGGTTTGTAGTAGTGTATAGTGTAATGTATAGTAGTGTATGGTGTCGTGGATAGTAGTGTATAGTGTGTAGGAGTGTATGATGAGGGCTTGACAGGTTTGTAGTAGTGTATAGTGTAATGTATAGTAGTGTATGGTGTCGTGGATAGTAGTGTATAGTGTGTAGGAGTGTATGATGAGGGCTTGACAGGTTTGTAGTTGTGTATAGTGTAATGTATAGTAGTGTATGGTGTGGTGGATAGTAGTGTATAGTGTGTAGGAGTGTATGATGAGGGGTTGACAGGTTTGTAGTAGTGTATAGTGTAATGTATAGTAGTGTATGGTGTCGTGGATAGTAGTGTATAGTGTGTAGGAGTGTATAATGAGGGCTTGACAGGTTTGTAGTAGTGTATAGTGTAATGTATAGTAGTGTATGGTGTCGTGGATAGTAGTGTGTAGTGTGTAGGAGTGTATGATGAGGGCTTGACAGGTTTGTAGTAGTGTATAGTGTAATGTATAGTAGTGTATGGTGTCGTGGATAGTAGTGTGTAGTGTGTAGGAGTGTATGATGAGGGCTTGACAGGTTTGTAGTAGTGTATAGTGTAATGTATAGTAGTGTATGGTGTGGTGGATAGTAGTGTATAGTGTGTAGGAGTGTATGATGAGGGCTTGACAGGTTTGTAGTAGTGTATAGTGTAATGTATAGTAGTGTATGGTGTCGTGGATAGTAGTGTGTAGTGTGTAGGAGTGTATGATGAGGGCTTGACAGGTTTGTAGTAGTGTATAGTGTAATGTATAGTAGTGTATGGTGTCGTAGATAGTAGTGTATAGTGTGTAGGAGTGTATGATGAGGGCTTGACAGGTTTGTAGTAGTGTATAGTGTAATGTATAGTAGTGTATGGTGTCGTGGATAGTAGTGTATAGTGTGTAGGAGTGTATGATGAGGGCTTGACAGGTTTGTAGTAGTGTATAGTGTAATGTATAGTAGTGTATGGTGTCGTGGATAGTAGTGTATAGTGTGTAGGAGTGTATGATGAGGGGTTGACAGGTTTGTAGTAGTGTATAGTGTAATGTATAGTAGTGTATGGTGTCGTAGATAGTAGTGTATAGTGTGTAGGAGTGTATAATGAGGGCTTGACAGGTTTGTAGTAGTGTATAGTGTAATGTATAGTAGTGTATGGTGTCGTAGATAGTAGTGTGTAGTGTGTAGGAGTGTATGATGAGGGCTTGACAGGTTTGTAGTAGTGTATAGTGTAATGTATAGTAGTGTATGGTGTCGTGGATAGTAGTGTATAGTGTGTAGGAGTGTATAGTGTAATGTATAGTAGTGTATGGTGTCGTGGATAGTAGTGTATAGTGTGTAGGAGTGTATAGTGTAATGTATAGTAGTGTATGGTGTCGTGGATAGTAGTGTATAGTGTGTAGGAGTGTATAGTGTAATGTATAGTAGTGTATGGTATCGTGGATAGTAGTGTATAGTGTGTAGGAGTGTATGATGAGGGCTTGACAGGTTTGTAGTAGCGTATAGTGTAATGTATAGTAGTGTATGGTGTCGTGGATAGTAGTGTATAGTGTGTAGGAGTGTATAGTGTAATGTATAGTAGTGTATAGTGTCGTGGATAGTAGTGTATAGTGTGTAGGAGTGTATGATGAGGGCTTGACAGGTTTGTAGTAGTGTATAGTGTAATGTATAGTAGTGTATAGTGTCGTAGATAGTAGTGTATAGAGTGTAGGAGTGTATGATGAGGGCTTGACAGGTTTGTAGTAGTGTATAGTGTAATGTATAGTAGTGTATGGTGTCGTAGATAGTAGTGTATAGTGTGTAGGAGTGTATAGTGTAATGTATAGTAGTGTATGGTGTCGTAGATAGTAGTGTATAGAGTGTAGGAGTGTATGATGAGGGCTTGACAGGTAATGCGGTTGCTCCCTCACCTTCACGAAGTTGTGTAGCAGTGGCCTCCCGTGGTTGCTTGCCCGTCACGTGAGCGATTGGCCGTTTCCTGGAGGCCGCGTGACCCAAACCGCCCAATGGGGACGCAGGATTCGACGACGAAGCTGAAGGCGGAAACAACAACAAAAACAGCAAAAACTTAAGGCGCGGTGACATTTAGACGTAAGAATATACTATCAGAGCATGTTTGATATTTAAAGCTTTCGTGACTGCAGGGGTTCATATTCTTGGTCCTTTCGGTAAAGTCACGTAGAAGGGAAGCAATAAAATGATAAAAATATCAGAGCATGTTTTTTTTTTTCATTTTGCATGTTCACCACAAGTATGTGTGGCTAATGCTGGCATGATTCCTTGCAAAAGGTTTGTGTTTGGTGTACTAACATCTTAACACAAACTGTTTTATTGCCAGAAAGGGGAAAACCTATTCTTATATTTTGATACCGGCAAGAGAGGGCCCGTGATAACATTTAGACACTCGGGCCCGTAGCTTTGTGCGCGCGTGCATAGATTGCGACTGAAACGCAAATGTTTAAGCTCGAGAAAGTTTATCTACGGCGGGGTTTGTCGTGGTCAATTTGTGTGTAGAGGAGGCCATCTTGACTGCAATGGGAACAAAATGGCCGACGTTACCAGAGCGATGATGTTTCAGCAATTACTTTGAAGAGCGTGCTTTTCTTTATCGCACGGAGCAAAAACGTTCAAAGGTTTGTGTTTATTTTTGACTTGACCTTGTCATCGTGACGAGATTTTAAATTGAGGAAAAACGAGAGGGAGAGATGAGCAGCAGCCACCAGTAGGGGAAACAAAATGGTTGACGTCGCCATAGTGACGGTAGCTTTAAAGATATAGTAATAGGTTTTACCCTTTTAACTGGCACAAAAACTGACACCTTTATTCAAGGCATCATGCTTGCAATAACCACAACACAAGCAGTCAAAATGCAAACAAAAGAGACAACTCTGATAATAATATGCACTGTCCTTCAATTTGATTGGTCCACACCCGAGACGGCTTTTCTTAGAGCCTAGTCTCCATTGGTGTTGGACCAGAAGATGCCAAAAGGCGTCTAAGAAAAGCCGTCTCGGGTGTGGACCAATCAAATTCAAGGACAGTGCCAATATCATTATCAGAGTTGTCTTTTTTGTTTGCATTTTGACTGCTTGTGTTGTGGTTATTGCAAACATGATGCCTTGAATAAAGGCGTCAGTTTTTGTGCCAGTTAAAAGGGTAAAACCTATTCCTATATCTTGTTACTGGCAAAGGAGGTCTCATAATAGCTTTAAAGAGTTTAAAGCTGGATCACGAGCCTCATTTAACCTCACTACAAACTGCGCTGCTTGCAACTCAGCGCAGTTTTGCATCGTTGTCTTGTTGTTTATCAAGAATGCAACATACCTGCTATCGGGTCACCGATTTGGCTTGACATTTCTCTTGATTTCTGCAAACAGGTTTGACCCAGACACACACAAAAAAAACCAAGACGCCCGTTCCATTAAAACCCTCCGTCCCGCTCGTCACCGCCATTTGACGAAGACAAAGATCCCGCCCCCCCCCCGCGCCGTCGGTGCAAGTGCTGTTCGCGAGCGGCGCCTACGAAGGGCGCCACCGTGGCACACACGAGGTGGGGTGGACATCGCCCGCCACCTGCCCGACCGCCTTTGTCTCTCCCAGCTGGCGATGTTTAACCGCGCGTCTCACCGCGTACTCGTTTTTACTGTTTTCCGAAGGCCGAGCCGAAGCTAGATAATCGCCGCCGCTATTCCCCCTGAAAGCGACGAACGGAGCTCGGGCTGCCGGGTTCACGGCGCACAGCGCCATGACAACGGCAGCGCCTGTGCCAGGCCGGGTGCCAGGCCGGGTGCCTGTGCCAGGCCGGGTGCACTTTGAGGCCATCGCGTGAAGTGCCGAAGGCTCGCTGCTGCCAGGAGGTGACAACACAGACCCCAGCAAGGAGCCTTGGTGTCGACCGACTGAAATGACGCACACACACACACGCGCGCACACACGCGCACACACACAAAGGTCCCCCATGTAGCCTTAAGTAGACTGTTGGGGCAAGTGCTGTTAGCGAGCAGCACCTGTGAAGGCCGGCACGGCTACACGAGGGGGCGGGTGGCCCAGCAACCACGCCCGACCGCCTTTGTCTCCCCAGTGGCGATGTTTACTGCACACCACTACGATAGGTTACTGATTTAAGGCTGAGTCGACCTAGGGGGAGGCCCAGGACCGGTTCAGATAACCGTCACTGGCGGTGTTGGCCGTGAGCGGGAATCGAACCCAGGTCGCCGGGTTCGTAGCGCTAACCGCTACACTGCCGCTACACACACACAGACAACAACAACAACAAGCGCCATTCGCCACTCAGTGGCGGTGACGTCACCACGACGCTTGTGCCAGGCTATGTGCACGTTGAGGCCACGTGAAGTGTCGAACGCCCGCTATGGGGCCGTCCATAAATGACGTCACTCGATTTTGAAGGGTTTTTGACCTCCCCCACCCCCCTCGTCGGCATCACAAAAAGTCAGACCCCCCCCCCCTCAAATATGACGTCACAAAGCTCTGCCCCCCCCCCAAAAAAATATATATAAAACATGCTTCAAATCGCTTTAAACTATTGTCATTGTAGTGCGTGTTTAATGTGGCGCTGCACTCTGATGTTGTAGGAGAAAACGTTTATTAAAAAAGTATATTTAATTAAGCGGAACGTGTTGTCTGTATTTATTTATAAAGTTGCGCGTTTTTACGTGACGTCACATTTCTCAACCCCTCCCCACCACCCCCCTCGTCACACATCGTCACAAATGTCTCACCCCCCCCCCCAGGTGCGTGACGTCATGTGTCGAACGCCCTCTATCAGGAGGTCACGTTGCAGACCCAGGCGCCACGGGTCGACTGACACACAGACACACGTACAGACACACGTACACACACAAAGATCAAAGATCCCCCGTATAGCCTTAACAGACTGAAGGGGGCAAGCGCTGTTAGCGAGCACCTATTAAGGCCGGAACGGTACACGAGGGGGTGGGTGGCCAGCACCACGCCCGACCGCCTTTGTCTCCCTAGTGGCAATGTTTACACACCGCACCAGGTACTCATTTGAGGCTGAGTCGACCTAGGGGAGGCCCGGGACCGGTTCAGATAATCGTCGCTGGTGTTGGCCGTGAGCGGGAATCGAACCCGGGTCGCCAGGTTCATAGCGCAGCGTAGCGCTAACCGCTACACTATCGCTCCCCCACAGACACACGTACACACACACACACGCACGTACACACGTACGCAGGTGTGAACCCTCACCTTTGCAATATGAGTGTCCATGTAATAGAGGAATTCTTGGCACAAGAGGTCATCTGTGTAGGTCAACGAAAGACATTTCTGCAGCTTCGTTATGGATTCCTCATGTACCTACGTGGCAGAAGTACAAAAACCAGTGTGAGGCACGTTGACAAATCATCACCACCACCACCACGATCCACGGGCAGATAGACCGTAGGTGTCCCACCGCATATACCGTCGTCTGTCTGACACGTTTCTCACTCTCTCTGTGTGTGCCTTGTCGTGCCACGATGCCAAGGAGTCTGCGTGTCTCTCTCTCTCTTTCTCATCATCACGGTGGCTAGGAGATGTTAACTACCTCGCCTGGTATACAGGAGGTCGTGGGTTCGACCCTGACGCCTGACGCCTGCTGTTGCTGTATATGTGGAGTCTGCGTGTCTCTCTCTCTCATCATCATCATCACGGTGGCTAGGAGATGTTAACTACCTCGCCTGGTATACAGGAGGTCGTGGGTTCGATCCTGACGATGTCTGTTGCTGCTGTATATGTGGAGTCTGCGTCTCTCTCTCTCTCATCATCATCACGGTGGCTAGGAGATGTTAACTACCTCGCCTGGTATACAGGAGGTCGTGGGTTCGACCCTGACGATGCCTGCTGCTGCTGCTGTATATTTGCAGTCTGCGTCTCTCTCTCTTTCTCTCCCCGTGGTCGCGTGGATTTTTGTTCTCCGGGTCCTCCGGTTTACCCCTCCACGTATAGAATCCAACAGTCACGCGTTGAGATCATTGAGATTATTTTCGACTGCTAATAAATGGTCCAATTGATTTATGGTGGCCACTTTTGTTGAGCCGTCACTCGTGGTGGCCTGGTCGCGTCTGAACAAATGAGTTCATACCCTGGGTGGGAACTTTGCCCGGTGGGATGGGGGATTGTTTAGTGTTGTATTCGTATGTGTCTGGGTCATTTGTGTTGACCTTTCATGTACTTTGCACTACCGCCGTGTTTTTTTTGTAATTGTGTTGTTGTTGTAACGTTCTTACCCTGTGGCCCCCTGACTGGGACATCTGTGACAAGAATAGCTCTCTGTAGCTTATTGGATTTCTCCTGAAGTAGACATGAATAGTCTGACATTTATATATAAGATCATAATGGGCCGCACCCACTGCACTTATGTGCGGCTGCAGTCAATCAGAACACAGACCATGTTGAAACTATAAAATAAAAAAATAAAACAATACAATTCTCACGACGTTTCGACTGCAACACAAGCAATCATCATCGGGTGTGAAAACCACAGCAAGAACATTTTTCAAATTGTATTGTTTTATATTTTTTTTGTATTATTTTACTGTTTCCCTTCTACGTGGTGGTGACTTTACCGAAAGGAACAAGAATATGAATCCCTGCAGTCACGAAAGCTTTAAATCAAAATTTTACACACCATGTTGTGCCTTTTCGCCCGCACCAAAGTATGGGAACATACAAAATAGGTTTCACAAAAGGTGCGCGTGTAGATGTCCCAACCGCAAACAGGTTGGGTGGTGGTTGGGTGGTTCTTGCGAGGAATCAAGTTCTGCTTAAACCGCACTCGTGTGCTGATCTTTAAGGGCGGCATTGACCAATTATTGATACTGCTACCGATGCTTCTGCTGCTATGGAGTGACGATGGCCTGCAAAGTTTGGCCGTACATGTTCTGTGTAGATCGTTTATTGTTCAATTCGAATCACAGTTCCTGTGATCGCTGCGACATTGTTTTTGTGGCTTTATTTTGGGTGGATTTTGAGGACGGACTGGTCTGGCCATGTTTGTTTGTTGTATAGTACAGAGTTGGCCTGATAACTTAAATATAAATTGTCTCACGGTTCATAACGCTTTGGTTCGTTCGGTAAAAGGTCACGTGGGTAGAAAAATAAAAGTGAATCAAATCACGACGTTTCGGAAGCAACGCAAGCCTCTGCCATCAGGTGGGATAGTCACAGCAAGAAGCGATATTGCTGTAGAATTCGTCCACCACAGCTGGTTTCTACCTCGGGGTTCGTAACACACACAAATATACAATGATGCAATCACCCACCCACCCCACTCACCCACCCCCCCACTCACCCACCCCTCACCCCCCTCGCCCCCCCACTCACTCATCCACCCACCCACTCACTCACCCAACCACCCACTCACTCATCCACCCACCCACTCACTCACCCAACCACCCACTCACTCACCCACTCACTCATCCACCCACCCACTCATCCACCCACCCACTCACTCACCCAACCACCCACTCACTCATCCACTCACCCACCCACTCACCCACTCCTCACCCCCCTCGCCCACCCCCTCATCCACCCACCCAATCACCCAATCACCCACCCCCTCGCTCACCCCCCCACCCCTCCACCCGCCCCCTCACCTCTGCGGTGTTTACGACTGGCAGCCCTGGAAATCCCCGGGTGGAGCGAAGCGAGTTAAACAAAGAGCCAACTTCCTCATTCTCAACATCAACATTGTGAGGTTTCCCTGTGCACAAAGACCCCCCTCCCCCCACCACTACGACCCCCCTACAGCCCGTGTATCCCCTCGGCGTATCCCCTTTCTCGGTAGCCCTTCTGGCAAGGGGGTTTAGGGGGGCGGCTCGCGTGAGTTGCAGTGGCGTGGTGACCGTGCAGGCGAAGACGTAGCGAGTGGATTAATTATTAAAGAAATGTTGCTGCTGTTGTCGTTGAAAGCCAATCTCATTGGTGGGTGGCTACGTACGGTGTGAAAGAAGTTCAACACACAGCACGGTTGGCTACGTACGGTGTGAAAGAAGTCCAACACACACACATAGCACGGTTGGCTACGTACGGTGTGAAAGAAGTTAAACACACACACATTACCACGTTTGGCTCCGATTCAAATGCAAATGCCACGATTGGCAGAAGGCTCCACGCTTGTGTACACAGCGTGGAGTGGCGAATGGCCTTGCTGGGTCACGACTGTTGCTGGGCCCACACGAATGTTTAGACTCTGCTGTGTTGCATGTCTATGTAAGGTAGTGGCGTCTCTCCTATCTCTGTCTCATATCTCTCTCCTCTCTCCTATCTCTCTCTCCTCTCTCCTATCTCTCTCCTCCTATCTCTCTCCCCTCTCTCTCCTATCTCTCTCTCCTATCTCTCCTCTCTCCTATCTCTCTCCTCTCTCCTATCTCTCTCTCCCATCTCTCTCCAATCTCTCTCTCTCTCTCCTATCTCTCTCCCCTCTCCTATCTCTCTCCCCTCTCCTATCTCTCTCCCCTCTCCTATCTCTCTCCCCTCTCCTATCTCTCTCCCCTCTCCTATCTCTCTCCCCTCTCTCTCATCTCTCTCCCATCTCTCTCCCATCTCTCTCCAATCTCTCTCTCTTATCTCTCTCCCCTCTCCTATCTCTCTCCCCTCTCCTATCTCTCTCCCCTCTCCTATCTCTCTCCCCTCTCCTATCTCTCTCCCCTCTCCTATCTCTCTCCCCTCTCTCTGCTATCTCTCTCCTCTCTCCCCTATCTCTCTCTTTTTCTCCTCTCTCCTATCTCTCTCCCCTCTCTCTCTCCTATCTCTCTCCTCTCTCTCCTATCTCTCTCTCTCCTATCTCTCTCCTGGTGTTGACAAAGACAAAGGTCCCCAGTGTAGCCTCTAACAGGGCTGTGGGGGCAAGTGCTGTGAGTAGCGAGCAGCACCTATAGACACACAGACAAAGGTCCCCCGTGTAGCCTCTAACAGGGCTGTGGGGGCAAGTGGCTGTCAGCCCCCCTGCAGGCCGGCACCACGCCGGGCCGCCTTTGTCTCCCCCACAGTGGTCGCCGTTTGTGACTTCACACAATAAGTTCGACACACAGCCACGGCTGGCTACGCACGGTGCGAAAGAAGTTCAACACACACACACACACACAGCCACGGCTGGCTACCCGCGACGCGAACGACGTTCAAGGTCACTCACCTTCTGCAGGGACAGCGTGAAGTAGCCAACGAAACCGGCGGTCGCGAGCAGCTGCAGCAGCACGAGGCTCAAAGCGACCACAACGAGCCTCTTGGTGGCCGTGGTGATGGTGGTGGTGGCCGTGGTGGTGATGGTGGTGGCGGTGCTAGCTACGGAGTTGATGGACACTAGGGGTGACTCTGAGCCAGATCCCTCGCTGCATGCCGAGCTGCTGCTGCTGCTGCTGCTGGTGCTGCTGGTGCTGTTGTTTCGGCTGCTGGTGCCACATTGTACAAAGGGGGCATCGCTAAAAGTCGACTTAGAAGGCATCTCTCTCTCTCTCCTGTCTGTCTCGCCTGTCTCGCCTGTCTCTCCACGGCTGCGTTGTTGATGATTGTCCCGGCGGCTCGCGTGTGTTGAGAGCCGTGCCGTGGGGATTGCAACTGGGGGGAGGGCCGCTTCTCAAGTGCGACAGACAGCAACAAACAGCACCGCCTGCGCGTGCGTGTGTGTGCGCACGCGCGCGCGTGTGTGTGTGTGTGTTGTTGTTGTTGTTGTCTTTGTGGTGGTGTTGTTGTGTTGTGGCTGAGCACAATACATTTGTAGCGCTCGATCCGAGTGTGCTGCTTGGTATGATGATGATGATGATGGTGATGATGGTGATGATGGTGGTAGTGGTGATGATGATGGTGGCGATCTGACGCACACACACACGCGCGCGCGGGCTCTCACACACAGACAGTCCCTGAACGCACCCACCCTTATATACTTTCATTCAGACACTCCCCATCTCAAACATTCCTCCCAGCCACTCCCCTCTGAAACGAGGAACCAGAGATCACGGGCACCGGCTTTGCATTCGGAAGAAACGAGAGTGGTCTCATGATAGACAGAGATTTTGTTTTTTTTTTGTTTGTTTTGGGGGGCTACCCACCTTAAATAGAGCGATGCGTGAACGTACATTTACGCGATCCAACCCCTAAGTCTCTGCGCTGTCTATTGCTGATTTTACACCCCAACAGCACGAGAATTCACTTCGTTAAAGTATTGAAAGGGGACGGACGGACGGACGGATTAATCTATTGCAGGCTGGTACACTCAGTTCACAACTTCGTTCCTACCTGTATAAATCACATCAATATTAAAACACATTAAAAACAAATGTAACTAATTGTATTTTTTTTTCATTTGCTATACAGCCCCGATAATAGGACAAATCGCTAACCTTTAAACACCCGGTCCGTTTCGATTTAAAGCTTTCGTGACTGCAAGGATTCATCTTCTTTGGTTCTTTCGGTAAAGTCACGTAGAATGAGAATAAAATAATAAATTGATCAAATAAAATGACAATAATATTCTCACGACGTTTCGGCCACAACACAAGCAGCCTTCATCAGGTGAAGGGGACGAGACTATCTGGACAGCGCTGTCCTCCAGACAGTCTCGTCCCCTTCACCTGGTGAAGGCCGCTTGTGTTGTGGCCGAAACGTCGTGAGAATATTATTGTGTTATTTTATTTTATCAATTTATTATTTTATTCTCATTCTACGTGGTGACTTTACCGAAAGAACCAAAGAAGATGAACCCGGTCCGTTCGTAAGAAGTCGAAGGGCGGTATAGTACTATAAAATCTTCTTCGGTTCTTCCGGTAAAGTCACGTAGAATGAGTATAAAAAAATTAATCAATAAAATAAAATAATTCTAGATTTGAAGCTTTCGTGACTGCAAGGATCCATACTCTTTGGTTCTATTCGGTAAAGTCACCTACGTGACTTTACCGAATAGAACCAAAAAATAAAATAACACAATAAAATTCTCACGACGTTTCGGCCGCAACACAAGCGGCCTTCATCAGGTGAAGGGACGAGACTGTCTCGAGGACCTGATGAAGGCCGCTTGTGTTGTGGCCGAAACGTCGTGAGAATTTTATTGTGTCATTTTATTTTATTAACTTATCACTTTATTCTCATTCTACGTGGTGGCGACTTTACCGAAAGAACCAAAGAAGATGAATCCTTGCAGTCACGAAAGCTTTAAATCGACATTTAGCTCTCTAGTAATCGAGCGAGTGCAGAATCGCCGCACCGGTATATCGAGAGTCTCGATTTGGAAGCTTCCCCCACCTGATGACGGACGCTTGTGTTGCGCCAGAAACGTCGCGGATTTCATTGTTGTTTGATACCTCGCGTGGACTTTTACCGCAGGAGAAGATAAAAAAAATAAACACCACCAAAGCGTACGGGAATTGACGGCTTGAAATCGCGCGGGGCCCTTGAAAGTTGGGGGGGGGGGGGGGGGCCCTAAGCTTGTTGTGGGGATGGCGAGGAGAGTGTTGGCGTCGTGGGTTAGCGCAGGACCCACGAACCCGGCCATGACCCGGGTTCGATTCCCGCTCGCGGCCAACACCACCGGTGGTGACGATCATCTCTGAACCGGTCCACGCGGTCTGCCCTAGGCTGACTCAGCCTCAATTTGAGTAATCCGGTGCACGTGTGTGTGCGTGCGTGTGCGTGCGTGCGTGTGCGTGTGGAGTAAACGTCGCCACTGGGGAGACAAAGGCGGCCGGGCGTGGTGGTTTTCTGGCCCCCCCCCCCCACCCACCCGCTGCTGCTGCTGCTCGCTAACGGCACTTGCCCCAACAGTCTGTTAGAGGCTACACGGAGAATCTTTGTCTTTGTGACGGGTGTCTGTGTGTGTGTGTGTGGGGGGGGGGGGGGGGAGGAGAGAGACAAAGGCGGACGGGCGTGGTGGTTTGCTTGCCCCCACCCCCGCGTGTGCCACAGTGCCGGTAGCCTTCACATGTCCTCGTTATCTTTGTAATCACTGGGATATTTGTCTTCGTGATTGTGAAAAAGTGGAAGTCAGAGCTCGGTTCGATTCTCAGAAAGAGGAACCCCATTATTATTTGCGATCATTTTGAGAACCACTAAAGGTGGACCCCCACCATAACACGCGTGGGTGGGTGGCTGGGTGTAGCATCATAAGCCTTGTACAGTTCCCAGAAAGGGGTAGTTGTAGCAGCAGCAGCAGCAGCATCACACCCACACACCAGGGGCTTCTACAGTTAGGGAGTAAAAAGTATTTGATCCCCTGCTGATTTTGTACGTTTGCCCACTGGCAAATAAATGATCAGTCTATAATTTTAATGGTAGGTTTATTTGATCATTGAGAGACAATAACAACAACAAAATCCAGAAAAACGCATGTCAAAAATGTTATATATTGATTTGCATTTTAATTAGGGAAATACAGTGAGGGAAAAAAAGTATTTGATCCCCTGCTGATTTTGTACGTTTGCCCACTGACGAATAAATGATCAGCCCTATGATTTTAATGGTAGGTTTATTTGCTCATTGAGTGACAGAATAACAACAACAACAAAATCCAGAAAAACGCGTGTCAAAAATGTTATATATTGATTTGCATTTTAATTAGGGAAATACAGTGAGGGGAAAAAAGTATTTGATCCCCTGCTGATTTTGTACGTTTGCCCACTGGCAAATAAATGATCAGTCTATAATTTTAATGGTAGGTTTATTTGATCATTGAGAGACAGAATAACAACAACAAAAATTCCAGAAAAACGCATGTCAAAAATGTTATGTATTGATTTGCATTTTAATTAGGGAAATACAGTTAGGGAGAAAAAAGTATTTGATCCCCTGCTGATTTTGTACGTTTGCCCACTGGCAAATAAATGATCAGTCTATAATTTTAATGGTAGGTTTATTTGATCATTGAGAGACAGAATAACAACAACAAAAATTCCAGAAAAACGCATGTCAAAAAAGTTATAAATTGATTTGCATTTTAATGAGGGGAATAAGTATTTGACCCCCTCTGCAAAAACATGACTTAGTACTTGGTGGCAAAACCCCTTGTTGGCAATCACAGAGGTCAGACGTTTCTTGTAGTTGGATACCAGGTTTGCACACATCTCAGGAGGGATTTTGTCCCACTCCTCTTTGCAGATCTTCTCCAAGTTATTAAGGTTTCGAGGCTGACGTTTGGCAACTCGAACCTTCAGCTCCCTCCACAGATTTTCGTTGGGATTAAGGTCTGGAGACTGGCTAGGCCACTCCAGGACCTTAATGTGCTTCTTCTTGAGCCACTCCTTTGTTGCCTTGGCCGTGTGTTTTGGGTCATTGTCATGCTGGAATACCCATCCACGACCCATTTTCAATGCCCTGGCTGAGGGAAGGAGGTTCTCACCTAAGATTTGACGGTACATGGCCCCGTGCATCGTTCCTTTGATGCGGTGAAGTTGTCCTGTCCCCTTAGCAGAAAAAACACCCCAAAAGCATAATGTTTCCACCTCCATGTTTGACGGTGGGGATGGTGTTCTTGGGGTCATAGGCAGCATTCTTCCTCCTCCAAACACGGCGAGTTGAGTTGATGCCAAAGAGCTCCATTTTGGTCTCATCTGACCACAACACCTTCACCCAGTTGTCCTCTGCATCATTCAGATGTTCATTGGCAAACTTCAGACGGGCATGTATATGTGCTTTCTTGATCAGGGGGACCTTGCGGGCGCTGCAGGATTTCAGTCCTTCACGGCGTAGTGTGTTATCAATTGTTTTCTTGGTGACTATGGTCCCAGCTGCCTTGAGATCATTGACAAGATCCTCCCGTGTAGTTCTGGGCTGATTCCTCACCGTTCTCATGATCATTGCAACTCCACGAAGTGAGATCTTGCATGGAGCCCCAGGCCGAGGGAGATTGACAGTTCTTATGTGTTTCTTCCATTTGCGAATAATCGCACCAACTGTTGTTACCTTCTCACCAAGCTGCTTGGCAATGGTCTTGTAGCCCATTTCAGCCTTGTGTAGGTCTACAATCTTGTCCCTGACATCCTTGGAGAGCTCTTTGGTCTTGGCCATGGTGGAGAGTTTGGAATCTGATTGATTGATTGCTTCTGTGGACAGGTGTCTTTTATACAGGTAACAAGCTGAGATTAGGAGCACTCCCTTTAAGAGTGTGCTCCTAATCTCAGCTCGTTACCTGTATAAAAGACACCTAGGAGCCAGAAATCTTTCTGATTGAGAGGGGTCAAATACTTATTTCCTTCATTAAAATGCAAATCAATTTATAACATTTTTGACATGCGTGTTTCTGGATTTTTGTTGTTGTTATTCTCTCTCTCACTGTTCAAATAAACCTACCATTAAAAGTATAGACTGATCATTTCTTTGTCAGTGGGCAAACGTACAAAATCAGCAGGGGATCAAATACTTTTTTCCCTCACTGTATACTAACGAACGAGTTCAGTTCCAGAGGTCTGTTGGTAAGTCAGTTTGTTCGTCAGTCCAAATAAACTCCTGTCGGTTCCAAACTCGTTGTACGGCATGCACAGTACTACTATACATTAAACACTACTACACTACATTATATACTACTACACTACATTATATACTACACTACATTAAACACTACACTACATTATATACTACTACACTACATTAAACACTACTACACTACATTATATACTACACTACATTATATACTACTACACTGCATTATATACTACTACACTACATTAAACACTACTACACTACATTAAACACTACTACACTACATTATATACTACTACACTACATTATATACTATATACTACTACACTACATGATATACTACTACACTACATGATATACTACTACACTGCATTATATACTACTACGCTACATTATATACTACTACACTACATTATATACTACTACACTACATTATATACTACACTACATTATATACTACTACACTA